GGAACACCAATTGTTGTTTTGCACAAGGGTCCACTATCTTTAAGATCTCTCTCTCTCTCTCTCTCTCTCTCTCGCTGTGGGTGTATATATATTTTTATTTATGTCTCTCCCACCCTATCTCTCTCTTTCTCTGTATTTCGATGTCTGGTTCCTTCGACTGATGGAGAAAAAAGGGGAAAGAAGCATAATACAGGATTATATGTGTCTAAAGTCTTGCTTCGTTATCCATCATCCGGAATCTTTGAGCAGGAGAGTTATCGTCTATCAATCAGGTCAATCATTTTCTTGCTTACATCCGGATCCTCAAAGACAACCTCACATGAAGTAGAATAAAATGTTCATATTTTTGATAGAAATAATGCTAATTTTACTGACACCCATCCCTCGAAATTCACTGGAGTGATGAGGTGGGCATTCGACTTTTAATTAGATGAAACCCGTATCTAGTTTATTCATTGGATTTTATTTATAATATATATAACTCCTTTAATAACAGCGTCTCTTTCTTAGTACCCTCATTTTTTCATAATTACCAGACTACATTGTGTCCGTGGTACCACGCATCTATGATTGTTCATTTCCTTTTGCTTCCATGTTCATTCTGCTTACTATTAACTTTCATCCGGGTACCCTATGGCTCTTTTGAGCCTGGTTGTGAAATCCTTAATGAAATAAGAATACCAAATTTGGCACATGCGCCACTTACCTTACTGTAATCAACAAACGTAGGCTCGCTAATGAATCCCCCATTTCATTGCCACCAACAAATTAAATGACAATTGAAGTAACCTCTCTCGCATTCACCCCCTTCTAATTGCGCCCACTTTAACTACCAGAGTAGCACATCCACTGGAGTGTTCCTTTCAAATAAAAGAATTGATGAGAACACCCTTTTATATTTTACATGAACAAGGAAGCTTTCGGACACTTCTGTGGCTCATTATATTAATGAACCACTTTGAAAGATACCATGCATCACTTGGTAGCAGCACCAATGCAATGAGTCGTTTATTACAATGCGATACGCGGCAATCAAGTACACTTTTTATGGTTCAGAAGGATATAATCTAACAATTGGTATTGATAGCTGTCGTGGTAAAGTGGTTCATTCACTTGACTCTCAATCTAAGGGCTGAGGGATCGAATCTCAGCCCGGCACAAACGTGGTGTAGATTGGTACCTGGTGTTCGATGGGGTAATAATAATTGCAGGGCCTTCAGAAAGAACAGCATTGAAGCTAGTGAAGTATCCCTGGGTTAACCAAGTTATCATTATCATTATGATTATTTTTATCGTTGTTATTATTATCATTATTATTATTATTATTGTTATCATTATTAATATTGCTAATATTATATTTAAAATAAAACATCAAATACCACGATCATTTGATAATGATACTCAACATGTCAAACATAAATGATTTGAATTCGCGCTGTGAAGTATCATTGCTTATGTATTTGTAGCTCAATACATGATTATGATTGCTTTTACTCTTGGAAACCTTGTTAGTATTAATTTAGTTATTCCTGAGGGGCCTCCAATCATTATTACTCTAGCATATCTAGGTGCCCATTTAATACAACTAGGTAGAGAGAGAAGAGGGTTGGTAAAACACTTTGCCTCAATGATGTAAACACCGCGCAAGGATCAAAATACGTGTAATCTGAAGAGAGGGTGATAAGTATTATCTTTAACCAATGGCTTCTCCACAATAGGATGGATTCGGAGAACATGCTCCCCCCCCCCCCCCTGGCCTAGAAAACCTACCTCAGCAAGGAAACAAACAAACGAATACACAGCATATATTATCAGGTCGATGGCACGAGAAGCGGCTCACGTACATTGGACCCCTCCCCCGGTGCTGACAGGATTTTAGACACCATATTTGCCCATTTCTAGATACGCTACTGTTAAACAACTACATATCCGTCTTTATATAAGTTCATTATTTTCATGGATCTTAGCGGATAGCCCGGTCAATAGACTTGTTAAGTTGTCTTCCAGTTCCTTTTAAGGGGTCGATTCACTACGAATATCAACTAAATTTGCAATATGAAAGAAAGAAAAACCAGTCCAGTGACGTTTGTACAGAAATTGTCTAACATGGGTGGAATTTCAAGACAAATCAACCATTATCAGTTATATTTACCCATATTGACATGGACCTGATAACATTATATTGTATTATCAAGGAGTTGTTATCACCATATTTTTGCATATTTGGTATCATTTATATAAACAAATCAATTTCCTTGTATGATTTATGGATAATAAAGTATTTTATTTTTAATTTTGACTTGAATTATTTTCCACTGCGCCTTCAAACTGGGGGGGGGGGGTGTTTTCTCATTCATTAATGGATATATCTCTGCTATCATAGTTTTAAAAAAAACATCCATCAAAGCCCTGGATAGAGTGCTTTTTTTTTTTTTTTTTTTAAACACTATTCTAAAGCAGCTGCATTTTATGTACCATCTATCATCTACCATAAAATGATTCTCAGTTATTGTTAAAACATATGAAGCCCAGGAAATATAAATATACATACACTTGCTAAAACCACATTTTCTAAAACCACAACACATAATATGCACATATATTTACGAGTATCCATTGGCTGTCCTAGAATGTCCATTTCCGTGTCTTTCTTTGCCTATTATTAGGCTTTTCCATACATGAATGTTCTACACAATTCGGTTTTTCAAATGTCAGCTTTTGTCAACCTAAACATTCAGTCTAAATTTGACCTAATTCTTTAGGAAATCTACAAATGGAAACTGGTAATGAAATTCGCAAAACTCGCTTTATTACATAGCTCATTTTTGTATCCAGCAGAGGTTAACCCCCACCAGGAGAGGTTCGTGCCCCTCCCCTATTCCGTTTTCTATTTCTGCTACACCCCTGGTTCGGAGTATGGGAATTTTTAATTAACTGATTAAAGAGAACAGATAACCTCTTTCGAGAAAAATATCCAGTAGTCTTTCCTTTTTCATTTAAGCTGCATTTTCATTGATTTGTAATGATAATGATGATAATAAAAACGATGATAACAATAGTATTAATGATAATATCATGATGATAATGCCACTTTCCATCCAGGTGTTAACTTGGTACCGGAAGAAAGAAATCCCTTGAATGCAGTGAGTACCGAAATCTGTAGCCTAGCAGAGCCGGGTTGATATAAATTCTGTGAATCATCATCATCATCATCATCATCATCATCATCATCATCATCATATTGGGGCGCCTGTAGCACCTTGCATGATGGATATGTCCGCTTTTGAAATACCCCAATTTCTCATTAATATTATCAATACTGTCAATAATACATGTATTCGAATCTAGAGATTAGTTTCTAACAAAGGAGAATAGATCGCAAATAATTGGCGAACTCCAATTAGTAGCCTGTGTGATGTGAAACAAGGACTCGAGAGACAAGCTTCGCAGCTTTCACACACTTAGCGGAAATATGTCCTTCTCATATGAATAATTAATGTATTTCTTTGAAACACTTAAACTCACATAATAAGACCACATGTAACGACAGCGGTCGGGATTACTTACTCGATTAATCTATGTATCTACCTTCGCTCATCACTCGGGTATTTAATGTGTGATTTCGACCGAAATGGTTTTGCAGATTATGATTCAGTTGCAGTCCTGAATATATATTTAAAACTGTAAATTTTGTTTCTATTCAATCGGTAGAAATTCTCAGAAATCAAGGTTAACCTTTGCAACTAATGCTCAGTTTTGGGCTGTGGCGCTCAGGAAATCAGAAATGGTGTTCATCTTGTATGGCTCATTCTAATTTACACAACAAAGGGTTGATGCATTTATAATGGTGATACTAGCTTAATCATTGTGGGCCGGTCCCATTTGACTGATTACTATAATGATATCTACATGTATAACTGTAAATCGTTCCCAAAACTGTCTCTTGGACCCTGTCTTTTAAACAGTGATATCTAGACTCGCAACTCTGTATTAAAATGATTAAAGTGAGAGGAGTTTGTAAGATCGCGATCGGTTGAAGAACCTGTGGTCAATCCGTATTAAATATCACACTTCCTTTAATGCGAGATTCGGAGGTTTATGGGGACATGGTATTGCATATTTCACAAATTAAAATAAATTGTTGCTAAATATCCTATCCGCCAAATTAACGCTAAATGAATAAACCTTCTTATCGGTTTTCTCGGATCAATACCATAATTAACATTTTTGAATGCATTCGCGAAAAAAATTAACCTCGTATTATTTCAAAGTATTGTTTAATGTGGTTGACTCCCTCTCCCCTCCCTTCTCTCTTTCCTTCACCTCAGTGTGTCTGTCTGTCTTTCTGTCTCTCCCTCACTTTCACTCTCTACCTTTAATTTTCCCTTCTTCATCTGTTATCCATCTCTCCCTACCCTCTCTCCACCCTCTCTCTATCTTGTATTCTTATTCCTCTTTCTCATTCTCTCCTTTGCGCCTGCCTTCTGCTAATATGGAGCGTGCTCATCCTCACCTTACCTTTTGTGGCCATCATTTACATAACATAACAATTTGAACCTATATCTATGCATTTTAAACGTACTACTCATTTGATGCTAGACTCACCTGTGTGTATTAAGGCATGAGTAAGTTACAACTGCATAAATATTATTGACTTGTATTATTTATTTTCTATTCAGTGAATATTTTATCATGTAAACACTCTTGTAAGAAATATTGTACAATTAAGCCCCCGGGCTGTGATGGTTATTTTTGAATAAATAAAGCATCATTATTAGCTTTATTAAATAAAGCATTATGTTATTAATGTTAGAGAGTATCCAACATTTTGGATACAAGAAGGAAAAAAACTTACAATTGACAACAAACACACACACATCCACGCACAAACATCTGATATATCTATTTGCCTGCATCATTTTTTTTGTCGACAGCCGTATGCTAAATAAAAGAATTATTACTTTGACATTAAGATAAAAGACACTTTCAATATCATTACATCGATTGCATGGAATTTTTAATAACGAACACAAAAATCAACATTCAACACATGACATCCCCCATCTTGTACATTTTAGTCATAATTCATATGATGCATGTTGCTTCTCTTTTAATATCCAAATATAAGAAAAAGAAAAAAATATTATTGTTCGAATACGCAATATCATATTTCGAGTTCAAACAAACAATACGCATTTCCATTTCCAACCGCATGGTGCTTGCTTAATTTAACCAATTTGGGTCTGTTTACGATCAAAAATTGTTTTGACGAACACGGAATTTATTGAAAGGTTACACATCAACGTCCACGCAACATCAGGTCCATCAATTCCTACCACGCTTCCTATTAGTAGCCTTTCCTATCCATCATCATTTTTTCTACGAAACGTCACAACGCCTTTCGAATAGGGACATGTCCTTCCTTCACCCATCTTTGATCAACTCGACGCTAGCCTCAGAATTCATCAAATGTAATTTGATGTCTTTAATTGAATTATGAAATATTCATACCTATTCTAATTGAGCAGGGTACGGAGAATTTGAATAACTCTCGTCCGAGGCTGTGTCCTTCGTGTCAACGTTACCAATTATAATTATGCATGTTTATTTTTCCTACCTCTCTTTTTTTCCTTACGACACAATAATGGCCTTCCCTTACAGAAGACCTTAGAAAATCCATAGTTAACTTCATGTACAGGGCTCTCATTCAACCATTTCAGCATCAGTGCAAGAAATATTACATTGCAATATACTTTTCTATTATTTACATGCATTTCTCGCCGCAATTTGTGCTAATATTTAAGTATGCCTTATATTGATCACGTTAAAAGTGCACTTAAACTTGCAATAAAACGTGACTATTTCATTCACAACAATGTCGGAAAAGGACGAAATTTCTAGATGCTGAGCTTATGGTATGCTATTAAATTATTTAGAACTCTGTCTTCTTAAACGCAAAGACAAGAATACTGCCTAATGATTTGGACATTAAGATTTTCCAATAGAAATGAACTTGATGAAACAAACGCACATATCCATGTTTTTCTTAAAAATTATTATGATCATTCCTACATGCCGATCCAGACTATTTCCAGTGATTCTACTTCTCATTCTTCAAATGCTATCAAGAATGTGGTTAGAAGAAATACAATTACTATCGTAATAATAAAACGAAAAGATAACCATGTCTACAATACAAGAGATCAAATATTAAAGTCATGGCCCTTACAATAACATTTACGTTTCGACCTTACAAAAATAATTTGAAATATTAATTTTAGGATGTTAGGATTCTGAGAAGTATAAATTGGAAGAAAGAACGAAATCGTTTAGATACCACACTTCGATATCTCTGTATGAAATCCGATATTCAACCATACATTAAACTGTAAGTGACTATGTGAACTGTCATGAACGGAAATAAGCTAAAATTCAATGTTTCACGGAATATGATCATTTGTTTTAAATATTGTTTTATCATTAGATGTATAATTTTCTATAAGTTAGAAAATGGTTTAAGATACTGTGACTAAGATAAGTTAATCGCTATGTTTGATACTATCATATTGAACGAAGTGCATAGTCACTGCAGATGACGAGATGTTCCTTGGGCTAAAGTATATTGGACAAACAGGGTTTTATATTTTTACAAAAAGGACTAGAGCGGCCATTGTCAAGATCCTTATGATGAAAACTTCAAAGGAGGGAAAGGAGTAGAAAGTTCGTTGGAATGATTCTGTTGATCGATTGTTTTTTTCTAGACTAGGCTGCTACATGGTTGGTCTCGTTGCTAATCTTAGTGGGTTTCGATGCCTCAGTGTTGTACGACTGTTAGAAACGCCATTATTTATAGAGGATGTACTCCTTCGCTTCCTTATACTTCGTTTCCATCCAATACTGCACGTGCCTGAAAACTGACAAGCAGGTCCATCGGTGATATGTTCTGTCTTAAAGGGGAATCTTCGTGTCATGTCAGAGTTCCTGGAGCGAAACGGTGCCAGCCCACCGTCCGCGCCACGACCCGTCGGACTGTGGGCGCGTTTTGAGACCAAGAGCTTATGTAGAAGCGCGCGTACTACCTCGTCTTCTTGTTTGGTTTGTGCCTCAATGTTCCGGATATCATCGTTAATCAACGAGGTAACAGCGTTGTCCTGCTCGTCCAGGGTGTCATGGGTGCCTTCCCGCATGTTGGGCCCGGCGTAAATCAGAGCAAGCAGAAGTAACCTTGCGGCATTGATAGCATCCATGTTTCTCCCTCACACCCCCGTGGATGACCCCGGGGACGATCTCCTCTGAGAGTCTGACAGCTGACAGGTGGCAGCCTACACGTCGTGGTCCGCCGGCGGAAATATACTACAAGACAAAATAGAAAAAAAGAGCAAAGGGATTAGAAAAAGTGTGACTATCCCGCGAGTATACTGCACACAGACATTATATTGTATCTCCACCCCACCCCCCCCCCCGTCTTTCACGCCATTTACTGACGTCATCATCAGTAAATGACCCTCATTGGGGTCAATTCCAAGTTGGGACAGGATCCAAGAAAGTGAGATGTATTTTGAATGGCAATCCGGATGAATATAAGCAGGATGGCGGAAGTCACAACTAACGAGATTTATTTTCCCTGATGCATCTCCTCAAATAAAATTACTATGGATCGAAAGCTAACAGCCGATCACAAATTGCCAGCTGACTGTCTATTGAGAGCATCTCTAACAGATCGAAACGAGAATAGAATATGTCGGGGAATAGAGATATGGCAACGACGAAAATATAGTAATGAAAGGATAATGCGTAAACTCTAGAGACGAAAGTTATGAGATCGTTGAAAATCAATTTATAATCGCTACCAATAAAAGAACCGATACACAGATAAATACCCAAGGGAAGGAAGCTTTTCCAGTTTTAGAGATAAAGTTTGATAATTTTCATGCGATTTCGTCCGTATAGCGACTTCAATGAAGTAAGGATTTGAAGTTACTCGAATGAAGAGAAATAGAATCAATCTAGCTTGAAAATTTCAGACATCTGTATATTGGATTAAACACCTGTGTCAGGAATGTTTAGTGCAATTATTTCAGCTATTTTATCGTCATATTTCTGATTTGAGGGCATTTAAAGAGCTATCTTTTTTTGTATATACTTTTAAAATAAAAGACATTTGTCCCAAACAGACAAGAAAATAGAAATGGAAAAGAAAAAATCATGTCTCATTTTACAAGAACTAAACCCTTCTCTTTGAGAATCGTAATCATTTCCAGTTTACACAAATTATTATGAAAACACACATAAGGCAAATCAAGTTAAAAAGCTGGGTAATTTCATTTGTGTATGTTGCACTTGTATGCTGTTGGCAATACTTTGTACTTCTCGTATATGTTCTGTTCGGAGCCAAAGGGCGTCAAATATGTGTCAAATTAATGCCTTTATGTTTCCAGGCAGATGACATGACCTTCTCTTTGCATTAGAAAACGCACCAGTTCCCATTACGATCTGCGAATAGTTTTAATTCTTCTTCACACTAAAGTTATCGAAACTGACCAAGAACATAAACGTTACATGACCATTTGCAATGGAATTAGATACTCAATGTAATTTCCAGCTAAAATACAATCCAAACCAAGAGCGCAATGATTTGCATGTGGTTGTCAACATGATCGTAACACCGTGATTTTTGTTACTCGGTTGTTTACAGTTAAAGATCACTGAAACAAAATGGTGAGCATTTACATCTAACTCTCAAGTGAGAAGTACTTGGTGGGTTGGCAGCAATGTTTTCTTAGTGTCTGATTATGTTTTATTGATTTCTTTTTTTGTCAACACGTTTTGTTATGATATTAATACCAGTCATCAATTATACTAGTATTCCCTTGGGTAACAGACTAAGTGTTAATGTTATTTAAAAGCGAAGTCAGACACCAGATGTGCATAATAAATGTGAATATATTTCGGCGGCCTTTCCTTTAGATCCGTAATGGCTTGAGGCGCGTATTAATCATCCAAAAGAGCTTTCTAGCGGCTCCTAAAGCCTTCAGATAGGCCGCAGTATTACAACTGTGGCGGTTTTATTGTTGTGTGTATGTGTGTGACGTAAAGTGTGATACGCTTCACATTCCTGTATCTTATACATTAAACAGAGTTAATCGAATGTTCGTAGGTCCCCTGTTGCGCGCAATTGCTTTTCATTTATGCGTAAACAAATCCGCGGCGGTTTACTGCGTCTTTTCTGCACGAGCCTGAAAGCGTTGCTGTCGGTCTTCGCCTTTGTCAACTGAATACAGATTGACAAAAGTACTATCTTACAAACGGCTTTACTAAATATAACTAAGTATGAACACCTTGCAGTAACTACTTTTTAAGACCTCATATTTGTTTTCCTTAACTCTTTGATTATAAGCGGATTTTTAAAAATGAAATATATCAAGAGCTTTTCCACAAAGGTTACCACAGAGTGTCACCGAAAGTGTATAATTGTGAATACCCTGTCACAGTGGAAACTGTTTACATACCACAGACATAATCGACTTTTAGCCCCTTGTATTTATAATGGGATGCATATATCATGCAACCTGTGCGTTGTATTACATCATGAGTATAGGCATCAACTGATGTCTTGCGCCTTTTCTTCCTATTTCTCCCCAGTTCCTTACATGCATGGTATTTCCTGGTAGTTATTACAATTGTTTCCTGCTCTTTAAATGTATAGTGAGGACGTTATGTTACTAATTTAGCTCTTGGAAGAAGCATACAATCGAACACTCTCCGAAATATTTGGGACAGCTTAGAAACAGCATGGTTCGATATAATTTGACATCACTTCTCTAGTAACCTTTCATAAGTATGATCTAGTGGATAAGGCACCGGACTATTGATCATAGGTTAAAGGGTTCGAATCCTTGCCACATCACTAACGTCCTCCGGTAACTTTCGAGGCTCATCCCAGGTCAGGTAATCATAAAAATAATAATAATTATAGACATTTCTATAGCGCCGTCTATCTAGAAATTCTATTCTGAGGCGCATTAATGATTACCCCAGCTATACAGCGTTCCAACATTTCAAGGAATTAATTCCTGCCCATTTACCTCACCTGGGTCGAGTGAGGAAAATGAAGATTAATGCCTTGCCAAAGGACATTAGTGCCGTATCGGGGATCGAACCACGACATTTGAATTTTAAGTCAAGTGCTTAAATCACTGGACTACGACACTTCTGTAAATGGATACCTAACATGAATTAATTACCTGACGTTCTAAAGCACCTTAATTCTAGCCTCGATTCAGCTCTGGTAACATGGTAATGAGACTTGAGCGCCGGGGATGACAAGCATGACCAATACGAGAGCTCTACAAGAGTCTGATATTGTTATTGCCATTGACTAACACCATGAAGAATATATTCCTAATCCACAAACTTTCTCATCTGCCGATAGTTGTGTAATACTTTTTTCATTAACCAACTTTCATTAAACCATGCCCTGTAGCATGCTCTTTCATGAAATAATAACTATACACATGCAAATGGAGCACCGTGAGAGTACAGGTTTGCAACAAAAAGCACAAACTAATATATAATTCATATCCATCCCCATCACACGCACACTTGGGTTATTTCTTTATGAGACCGCCAATGATCAATATCAGTTCGTAAATACAACAACGTCACATCATAGGGACTTTACACTGATATTTTCCGTACTATACAAAAGCCCAAAGACTCCCACTCCCACTTGTTAGAAGCCACCACCACACCCACCCCCTTTGGTTTCCGTAAAATCTCCTTCCTAAACCCTAGCAAAGTGTGGAGCTTCATCTTCACACGTAAAGGCTAGTTATGACAAGACGCTGTGAAACCGCAGTGGTACTTTTTTTCTTTGAATGACGTAATAGAGCTCACTGGATACGTGCAAGTCCATTTTGGGGGTAGGGCGATTTACAGCGCCATATCTGAATATCAACTCGGTAGGCATTTTTCCCAGTATTGACTAGATGAAGGCTGAATATTTGAGATGTAGGTCCATCAAAAAAACCCATCTTCTATTCACCGCGTTTGATACAATGTGGAGTAGATTACGTGATATATATGTTTCTTCATTAATAAATTAAGTCAAGGTCGAGGAAATGAAACAAAAAATGTAACAACGAGATGATTATTTTATCCCACGTGAATCTTCTTTTGCAAATATCATCTATAAACAGCCGAAGCATATCGGATATTTCTGAATCACTCGTCAACGAAAAAGACAAATCTCATCCAAAAAACACCTGTCATGCCTGTCCAATCTATCTTAAATAGCATCATCATGCATCAGCCCTCGTACTCTTTCTTTTATTTCAGGGGAGCACTCCTGTCATAAGACAAGATTGAATATATTACTAAGTCTCTTCGCCCTAGCAACAGTGGTCGTTCATCATATACGGAGATGGTAATTTCACGCACTGCTTGTTTTATGATATCTTTTTTTGTTTCGTTTTAGTGGGGGGGGGGTCAAATGCAATCAGTAGGTTCAGTAAGCAAAACTTGCATTGTTCATGTAATATTCATTACTCACTATTTCTTTTCACATGAAACTTAGTACAGACGATCAGGGGTCATCAGCAGCCGCGGTTTTGGCGTTCTTACATGATTTAGTACAAGTGTATAGTTGAAATTCAGTTACGATGAAGAAAGGGGGTGCCTAAACTTCATTAATAAAAAGATGCGATCTACGGGTACAACTTGAATAAGACTTGAGGTAGTTTAGGTTATATTTTGTCACCCTTCCCTTCTCAGTTCAATAAAATATGACAGCGTACATCATTCATTTCGCATATTCTAAGTACTGGCAGCAGTCTAAACCTCATGAGTGAAAACAGAGGGGAATTATTTTTTTCATCAGGGTTTGAACACGATTTGAAACTGTCATATCTTCGTTCATGCATGCATGACTGAATATTTGGACTAATTCAGAGGGTAATGCCAGTCCTAAAGGGCGCCACATTCGCCAACGGAAGTGTAAATCTTTCATGAAAACACGGTGGTATGTTCTATTTATTTCCTTACCGTTTCATGCATCGTTAGATTTATACTCTCTAACGGCTTATCATTTGAGAATTTAGCTGAATCCCCGTGTTCAATCGCTAAGTACGTGTCATATTTGCCCAGCTATGAGCTTGCAAAGAGCATGTCATCTTTCCAGCGCTTTCTGCATTTTCTGTAGAGACTAATGGTTAATAGCTAAATTATTCATACCCTTACCAAGTTTTGTAATTAAAAAACAAGCATTTGTCCCGATTTATGTTTCTTGAGAATATGACATATTGAGGCCTACATCTAAAAGTGTTCAACAAAGGCCATAATTCAACCAGCACATC